GGGGGGGGGAGGAGGGGAGAGAGAGAGAGAGAGAGAGAGAGAGAGAGAGAGAGAGAGAGAGAGAGAGAGAGAGAGAGAGAGAGAGAGAGAAAGCAGGCTTACCGAAATTCAGAGGGACTTTCTGGAGAATCTCTTGAAGTTTGGCGGGAGCAATCTTGCAGCCGCATCCCCCACCATGCGAGTACTGCGTCAGCCTCACTTTGCCAGCTGCCGACTCCTCGTCTATCGCCATCTTCTCCTCCTCCTCCTCCTCCTCCTCCTCCTCCTCCTCCTCCTCCTCCTTGGCCTTCGATTGCAACTTCACAAGTCGACCTTCGATTGCAAAAATTTCGCGAGAGTTGTGGTTATCCTTCGCTGCTTTGATTTCCCAGTCGGTGGTCTGTAAAATAAAGTTTTGCAAAATTTCAAATTAGAAACCTTGCACAGCACACCATCATCAATCCATCCATCAATCTTTCTGCACGTAGTAAACCATCATCATATACCACGCTCAAAGCTCCACTCATGTCCATGCATGAAAAGTCAACACACACACAAACACAAAAAGAAAAAAAGAAGGAAAAAAAAAAAAAGAGTCCACGACGACGAAGAACCAACTTCAGCACAGATCAAGACGATTCGTACGACCAGGATGCAACAGACAAGAGCTCTCAGACCTCCCCTTCCATCCTTCCCACTCCTGCCCCGCTCCTCCTTTCCCCCTTCTCCCTCATGCCCTCCCTCCCCTGCTATTAACTTTATTGTCTCGCGGAAGCCTCAGCTATTTGGGGGGGGGGAAGGCCTCCGAAGCCCCTGGAAAACCAAATCGGGCCAGCAGTGCATGATGGGGCTGAGCATACACGTGACGCTGTCTCGTTGTGGATATGTAGTCACCCCCCTTTCTCTTCTTCTTCCCACTCCTCCTCCTCCTCCTCTTCCTCCTCCTCATCGTTCCTCTTCCTTCTACTATCTTCCTCCTCTTTGTTCTTCTTCGTCTTATTAGCACTCATTAGGGGCCTCGCTCCACTGCTCTCAAAATGTGCAAAACGAGAGTGAATCTTCCGCTAGAACATGGAAAGATGCACCGCCATGATTTTTATTTTTGTCTTTTGTGCATGTCGAGAGTAGTGGATCGACGCCCTTGTTCGATTAAAAAAAACGAACTGATTTATAGACCAATCCATTTCAAAATTCGTGTGTCGTGACTGCTTTTTTTTTTTTTTTTTTTAATCAGATATGAAACTAATCAGCACAGATACTACACTTGATCTTCGTCAAAAGGCCAAGTATCTGTTCTGATCAGTTTAATTAACTTTAATATCTGATTCAAAAAAAATGTCTCCTGAAAGGTACACTACGCCACTTTTCATACCAGATTCAGCTTATCGAATTTCCAAATGAAACCAGTTCAGATCCGATTTCAGCACCAAAAAAAAAGAAGAAATGATAAGCAATTTGACCAAAAGATTTAAGACATTAGCCGCAGGAGACATTTAAGGCGATCGGATTTTGTTTTTCTTTTTCCTTTAGGGCGATCTGATTTGACAAACGAGACATTTTACGCGATCTGATTTTATTTTATTTTCCCCTTTAGGGCGATCTGATTTAACAAACGAGACATTTTAGGTGATCTGATTTTTATTTTATTTTTTTCCTTCAGGGCGATCTGGTTTAACAAAGGAGACATCTTAGACGATCTTTTTTTTTTTTTTTTTTTTTTTTTTTTTA